TTGACTTCAAAGGGTCCCTTCCCTACTTTTCTTCAACTTTTGCAAGGGTTTCAAACTGTGTTGTCGTCTAAAGCACACAAATGCTCTGTTTTCTATTGCTGAAGTAAAAATATTCAATCAGAAGAAGTAGCTTTCACTACAAATCTATGGGTGTGTTTTATTTTATTGTAGTGTTTTGATCACACAGTTTTCAGAAGCACACAGTTTTATCACATTCTTTTATTACAACCTAACATTTCTTTTTTCTCACTATTAGATTGTCGTCTTCTCCTTTTTCTAGTATGAGTTCAGACCAAAAAATGATAAAGAATCCCTTTTACCCAATTTTGCCAAAGCAGCTTATTTAGTTTAAAATTTAAAATTTTATGCTTAAACATTTGTATTTTTAGTACACGTTTGGTTGTCGAAAAAAATGAATGGAGATCATGACTATCCATGACATGAATAACGGAATAATAGATGTCAGAAGATAAGGGAGGATTGTGAACAATACTGTATATTGTTGTATACCATATTAGAGAAGGATGAGATTAGATAATATCATTAATGTTATGTTTGGTTGGGGGATTTGGGGAGGGATTTGAAAAAAGAAATAGAAAAGGTAGGTGAAATGTGAATAAAATATGTATATATTTCATATAGTTTCACACACCTTTTCCCTTTCCCTTTCCAAATTCCTTCCCAAATCCCTCAACCAAACACACCATAAATGCTTATAATTTTGTCTATATACTTCTTCTCCCATCCTCTTCTAAAATAGAGATTATGACCATCTATGATATGAGTAACGGAATCATAGATATCACAAGATAAGAGAGGATTGTAAAACGCTACATTGTCATATCCCATATTTGAGAAGGACGAGAGTAGGTAATATCATTGAATGCTTATAATTTTGCCCATAAACTTTTTATTCTATATTACTCTATCCTAATCCCATTAGGTGGTGTTTGTTTTGAAGGATTGAGCCATGAGATTGAACTAATAGTCTATCCGAACTAATAGTCCATTGTTTGGTTCAATATTTTTGCACCGGACTAATAGTCCCAACTATTAGTCCCAAATATGTTGAACATTTTGGCCCTCTACTATTTAATTATATATTATATTTAGTAAAATTCAATAAATTTTAAATGTCTCAATTTAAAAATAAAATAATTTTATTTAATTTTTATTGATGTTTTATTTATTTAATTTTTTAAAATAATTTTTTATAGATATTTTATTGATGTTTTATTTTAAAATTTTGTTTATGTTTTATTTAATTTCATTGTTTAAATTTAATAGATGTTTTAATAGATGTTTTATTTAAACAATTAAATGTTTAATTTCAACAATAAATAATTTCATTTATTTAAATTATGTTTTATTTAAACATTTAAATATTTGTACATCAACATGTTTATTAAATTATTTCAACATCTGTACATCAACATGTATATTTATTTAACATCTATTAAATTATGTTTTAATACGTCAACATTTGATTACATCTACATTTGTTAATTGTTAATTATATCAACATTTGTTAATTGTTTAAACATAATCTGTACATCAAAATAATTTCAATGTTAATTGTTTAAATAAAAATTTAAACATTTAACCATTAGTATGTTTAATTTCAACAATAAATTTTTATTTGTTTAAATAAAAATAATCTATACCAGTCAAATTTTTTTATCAATATTAGTATGTTTAAATATCTTTAAACAAAATTTAACCATTAGTATGTTTAATGTTTACTAAAAATAATTAAAATATTAAAGATATGTTTAATATTGCTATTACTTAGTAAACAATTGAAAAACGATAAAATAGTCTTTTACTCATTTATCATATCCAGTCCGTTCAACCAAAAATTGAATTCACTAAAAAAACACGGGATAGACATCCAATCCAACCAAATAGTCCGTGGGATTCACAGTCCCAAGATTCAAGTCTGATGGATTCTGATCCCTCCTTATCCAGTCTGTAAACAATGTTCAGATTGTAATCCGATAGAAGTTTTTTATTCGGCGTTTGTTTTTTTTTAGTCTGCCAGATATGGAGTCCGGCTGGACTTCTTATCCTCCATATGGGGGACTATTGTATCCTAGGGGAGTTATGGGACAATTTTTGGGAGACTATCCACTATTGGGATTAGGTGGTAAAATGACTATTTTGACCCTCTACTATTTAATTATGTATTATATTTAATAAAATTCAATAAAATTTAAATGTCTCAATTTAAAAATAAAATAATTTTATTTAACTTTTTATTGATGTTTTATTTATTTAATTTTTTTTAAATAATTTTTTTTAGATATTTTATTGATGTTTTATTTTAAAATTTTGTTTATATTTTATTTAATTTCATTATTTAAATTTATTACATGTTTTATTTAATTTCATTGTTTTATTATTATTATTTTTAAAAATAAATTTATTTAATATTTTAATTAAAAAAATAACATATATTTTTATTGATATTTTATTTATTTAATTTTTAAAAAATAAGTTTATTTAATTGTGTAAAAAATAAAATAAAATAAAATTTTATTTAATCTAGCTAAAAATAATTAAAATATTAAAGATATGTTTAATATTGCTATTACTTAGTAAATAATTGAAAAATGATAAAATAATTTTTTTATTCATTTATCCTATCCAGTCCGTCCAACTAAATATTGGATTTACTAAAAATAGTCTTTTCCAGACATCTAATCCCGTAAAAAACAAACACATGATACACATCAAATCCAACCAAATAGTCCGGAGGATTCATAGTTCCAGGATTCAAGTCCGATGGATTTTAATTCTCCCTTATCCAGTTCATCCAATCAAACACACTCATAGGCCACGTTTGTTTGGTGGATTAAGTTAGATAGAATTGTTAGTGAAATGATTGTTAGTGAAGAGATTGTTAATGTGGAGATTGTTGGTGAGGGGATTAAGTAAAAGTGTGTTTGTTTTGATGATAGTGCGAAATATGATTAGTGATGAGATTGTTAAATTATTTTATTTAAAATAAATAAATAAATTATTTCTATATTAAAACAAATATTAAAACAAACAGGTGTACTTGATAAAAAAAAATAATTTTTTTATATAAAATAGATTCAATCCTTTCACTATTTTTCTAATTCCATCTAAAATCCAGCCAAGTTAATTCCCATATGTAAAGGTATTCATAATCCCATAAAACTACTAATCCCCTTTTATTTTTGTCAACCAAACATGAGTTATGTAAAATTTATAAGATTGATAATCCATTTCTCTCACCTATGAAATCAAACAAACATGACCATAGTGTCTTATCATAGCACACTATCCCATCATTAAATTGTTATTGAATACTTAGAGGTGGTTTGAGATGATCTAAGGCACCGTTTGGGAAGAAGTTGGTTGGGCTTTTTTGGCTATTTTAGCCACAAAAAATAAAATAGGCTATTTTAGCCATAACAAACAAAACATCACATCCAACCCATAATCATTACACTCTTCTCTCACAAAAAAAGTCAAAAAAGTCAAAAAGCCAAAAAGCCCTTCCCAAACCAACCTTTTTAGCCCAGGCTAAAATAGCCAAAAAAGCCAAAAAGCCAAAAAGCCAACCCACTTCCCAAACAGAGGCTAAATAAGTGTACTTTTTATTTTTTTATGAAATATCAATTGGGTATGCGTTAGGTTTAAAGTGATGTGGTAGAGAGGTAATGCGATTTAAATAAAATGATATGATTTAAGGTCTCGTTTAGCAAGTGCCACTTTTAGCTAAAAAGTCAAAAAGTTACTAATATCAAAAAGTCAAAGATTTCTTTTTCTCTCTATTTTTTGCACATCTTTTCGTAAAAATTCAAAAAATCATTCCAAACATACTAATTTTTTTTACATCACATTTTAGTCAAAAAATTAAAAAATTATTAAAAAAAATCTATTTCCAAACGAAGGCTAAATAAAATAATAATTTTTTGACTTTTCAACTTTTTTTTAGACTAAGACAAATCAGACCTAATTTTGTCCATAAACTTTTTATTTTATTCTATTCTATCCCAATCCCATCATTGGACTGAGTTATCCCACTGCAATGGGATTTTTTTTTTGGGCAAATTACAAACACCGCCTTGAGGTTTGATGAAAATACAGATTCTTCCTTGAGGTTTGAGAAATTACATCCCACCCCTGAGGTTTATATTTCCATAACAAATTGCCCCCTGAGATTTTTCTTTTCATACAGATTCCCTCCTAATTTTTCCTAATTTGTTATGAAAATTTGACCCTTAGGGAGCAATTTGTAATTTCCCAAACCTCAGGGAAAATCTGTATTTTTACCAAATCTCGAAAGGGTATTTGTAATTTGCCCTTTATTTTTTTTGGCCCATCGGAAAGGACTGCAATGGGATGTAGTGTCTTATCCTAGCACACTATCCCATCATTAATGCAACCAAATGTGGGACAAACAGGACACATAGGGCTATTTTGAAAAGTTGGTTAAAAATCACTTTTTTTAGTTTGTAGCAAAAGTTAAAAGTTGACTTTTTTGTCTTTTTTTTATTTGAGAAGTTGGTTTTTAGCCAACGGTGAAATTACAATTTTACCCTCATGGATCAAAATGTGTAACATAGGTGAAGTTGTAAATATTTTAAATAAATGGGGGTAGTTTGATCATTTTATTATGATTTGACATCATAAACAAACATTAATCAAAAAAGTCAAAAGTCACTTTTTACTAACTTCCCAAATCATTTATCTAAAAAAGACAAAAGCTTTGTTAAAAGTTAAAAAACCATTTTTTACCATCATTCCAAAATAAGTAATAGATAACTAATCCAATTCCCCCTCTTTTATACAAACCAAACTTGCCCGTAGGATGTGTATGTGTTATTAACATTTTCAAAAAACAAAAAAAAATTCGTACTAAAAAAAATGCTCAAAATATGAACTTTAGATTTCGGATGGTTTTTTTTGGCAACCTATTTTTAAACTACAAATAAGTTTTGCGAAACAACTTAATTATGAGCGAAAAATGCCAAAATAAGACCAAGTTAAGGGCAATATCATATTGACTATCTTTATTGCATTCCAACATTACTTACAACACAATACTAGACATTGCATTGCTGAATGATGTAAAAATTATTTTCCCTGAATAATAACAATTCAGCAAGGCCACAACCAACAAGGCTGATCTTCAACTGGGAAACTCCAATTACAACAATTTGTTGGACTTTGTTCATTGTAATCTCCATCTTCAAGCTTAGGGAAGCACACTGGGGGCAAAAGGGTCCTAGTGAGTTCATCTTCTTCGTTTTGTGAAAAATCAGATTGATCCGATCTGAAAGCATGAGCAGAATCTGCAGGCTCCAACAAGGAAGAATGGCTCTCTGAATCAAAAACATCGCTTTTAGCCGAACTTGCATCTTCCTGCTTACTAGCTTCCATTGGTACCTCGCTAATACTTTCACAGGTTGCATTGGTGATTTGTTTATGAGTATCTGTAGCCATTTCATTGTTGAAATCAGTTGGTTCTGTAATTGGGTTTTCTTTTTCTGTGAGAAGCAGTTTGTCTGTCAGCAAATGAACCTATTCAAAAGAAAGAATGGAAAAAATTTGGAACCGTTTGGTGAGGAACAATTAATGACTATCAGTCTAATTAGCACTACACTGACTGAAACTACTGAGCCCTCTAAAAATAAAGATAAATTGCACTGAAATTCAGAACAAATACAATAAAAGTCTTACAATTTTGAAATAATTATAATGATTTCTTCTTTAGTAAAGTTAAAAAAACCGAAACTAATTTAGATAGTATGAAAATGCAAAAATAAAGAACATAATGTTTGGGAGAAGTTTTTTTGGCTTTTTGAGTTAAAATAACGAGACTTTAAATTCTCATTCGACAACTCAATATTTTAGTCTAAAAGTTAAAAATTTACTAAAAAATCAATAATCTATACTAAAAAGTCAAAAAAAAAAATATTTTTTATTTTAAAACTTTTTATATATCTTTTCGTAAAAAATTAAAAAATTATTTCAAACATACTAATTTTTTTTATCTCATATTTTAGCTAAAAAATTAAAAAGTTACTAAAATCCTTTCATTTTTTCTCTTTGACAAATATCATATCCGACTATAAAAAAATTCAACCCTCATCCCAAACACAACTATTTTAGTAGTAAAAAATTAAAATAGTTTATTAAAATAGTCAACTTTCCAAACAGGGATATTCATGTAAAAAAAGATGACAATTATTTTTTTCATCTACATAACTATCAAATTATTGATAAAAATGTGACTAAAAGTGTTATATGAATTAAAATCTAAAAGAAGCTTAGGCTCCGTTTGGCAAGGAGGTTTGAGACTATTTTAGCCACAAAAGACAAAATAGACTATTTTAGTCACAACAAATAAAACATCATATCCAATCCATAATCATTACACTATTTTCTCACAAAAAAAGTCAAAAAGTCTTTCCAAAATCAAGCTTTTTAGCCCAAGCTACAATAACAAAAAGAAGTCAAAAAGTCAACCCACTTTCCAAACGGAGACTTAATGTAATTATGTTAAAATTATAAGTGTTACTATATTTTTCTCTAAACTTTGGCGTCTTTTGGGAAGCGAGTTAAAAGTCAAGAGTCAATTTTTAATTCATTTTGAATCACATCATCTCATATATTTTTTACATGATTTTACAAAAAAAATCAAAACAATAAAAAAATCCACTTTTAACAATCTTCTCAAAATAAGTCTTTAAAGAGCTCAGTGTAATTTACCCAGATAAAAATTACCTCATTTCTCAACCTTTCCTTCTCCTTGAGGAGGATATCATAGTCAGCCTTGAGCCCATCATAGCTGGCCTTCAAAGAATCATAGTCCTTCTCAAGCTGCTTGGTCCTGAACCGGGCTCGCCGGTTTTGGAACCATATGGTAACTTGCCTAGGCTGCAACCCTAGTTCATTGGCAATCTGTGCCTTCCTCTCAGGTTCAAGCTTATTTTCTACCTCAAAATTCCTCTCAAGACACCGAACTTGATCGGTCGTGAGCCGCCGCTTCTTCTCGGGTTGATAGAGGCAACCATCGAAGTCCTCATTGCAGTTTTCTTCTTTTTCAAAATGAGCAAAAAATGGAGCCATGGATGTTGAACATGAAGCAGAGTCAGCTATGCATACGACGGACTCCATTTCATCAAATTTGAAAGCAATAGCACAAGATGTATTTGTCAATAACAGTGAAATTTCACTAGTGTTAGGCAAGAAAGTGATTTTGCATGGTCTTGTCTAATCAAATTAAATGTGTCATTGTCTATGGGGCCATAATGGAATGAATAAGTTAACACCACAAAAATTAATCAGAGAGCTAGATACAGAATGTATAAAATTTTATCTATTTATATGTATCAGTGTTTGATTTCTGTAATTATAATAAAATTATAAATTAAAACTTAATGTGACCTGACTTATATCCATAAATCTAATTCACACATTTCATTTTCTCACATTTTTTCCCAAACCTTTTTTCTACGAGTCTAGGTGTACATCTATAGCCCATTCTGTGAATTTTATTGGTATTTCTAACATTACGGAACTTTTTTTTGGTCTCACTCATGGAAAGAAAGAAAAAAAAATTTCAGCAATAGAAGGAAAGGAAAAAACATTTGACCTCTTAAAGGGGCAAGCGTCTTCTGTCTTCAAAAACTTGTGTCTTCCTGACCCAAATTACTCACAATCTCATAAAAGAATTTTAAGATTTGAGAATCCGAAGATATATCCAATAACTGTGAGTGATTTAGGACATAGGTACAAATTTTGGAGACAGGGATCCTGGGGCCTCTTAAAGAACAAAACAGAGTACCAACAGACTATACAAGAAAAGAAAAGGGGGAAAAAAAAAAGAAGATGAATTATTTTTAATCTTCAGCAGAGATGCATAAAAATAAAAACCCAATACAAAATTGAATTCAATTGAGAGCCAACAACAAACCCATTAATGGATAATGGACAATGGAAAATAGAACACAAAAACCTTTTCAGAAAACCAAAAGGCAATAGAGGAGGCATAGAGGTGTTGCAAAAAGCAGGGGTAACAAAAGAAAATTACCATGAAAAGAAGGGGAAGAGTTGGAAATCCAAAGAGACTCGAGAAGCTCAGAAGATGAATGAGGACTTTTATTTTGGAGTATGACGGTCATGTTGCAATTTTTGAAGATTGTTCCACCCTCCATAGCTCCTTCTTCCCTGTATTTGAATTTATAGGGGACTTTTAAACGGTCATATTTTATGTTTTTTTCTTTTTCTGGGACTGTTAAGAAGCAGAGTTAATGGATTCAAAATGATCTATGGGGTCTATGGTAATGGTTATGTAGAAAGCACGTGAGTATAGAGAGCTCAAGACCATCACTGAGAGAGAGAGAGAGAGATTTTTTTTCTATACGAAGAAGTGGCTGATGGGACTTATAACCCATAACTAGTTGAAGGAGAGGGAGGTACCTTTCTTTCGTGGGCCCCATAGACGGCCTATTTAGAAGCAATTCTTTTATTTGCATAAAATTTAACATCTTAAATAATCTTAAGACTTTGAAATTAGGGTTGGAATAAAGTTTCGTCCCTCGAATTTTGCCCTTTCCAATCTTCTAAATGTTTAAAATGATATCGTTTTGGGTATTTTTTTTTTCCCTTCTTCTTCTTCTTCTTCATGCAGGTCGTCTCTGAGACAGAGGGAGAGAGAGAGAAAGAGGGAGAGGGAGAGAAGAGACCTTGCAGATCGTTGGCGATCGTCAGCTCGTCGCAGCTCTGATCGTCACAGCTTCGATCACAGCTCGTCAGCTCGTCGCCCAGCCCGTCGCTCGCCTCCGCCTCCTCCTCCCCCTGTGGTTATGGCCCCCTCCAGTCCTCATCCTTCCTCCTCCTCCTCCTTTCTTCTCTTCTCATTCTCTGCTTCTGAAAAAAAAAAAAAAAAAATTAGGGGGATTCGGGGGAGCTCATTTTCGAGCTCCCTAGCATTGCTCTTAGAGTTGTTTGGCATGACCTAAATAAGTGTATTTTTTATTTTTTTACGAAAGATGTGTAAAAAAATAAAGAGGTGATGTGATAAAAAAATGATAAAATGATAAAAATATGAATTATTTTACAATTGTCAAACTTGACCTTAAGATTGAATAAATTTTAAATTGCTTTTTATAGTGACTTGAATTTGAAATTTGAAATTTTAATCTTAAATTTTTACTATACAATCAATATCTTGGGATTAGATAATCTTCTCACAAAAGTAAGATCTATATATTTAATCAATATCATCTCATATAAGAAGATTATGGGTCTAATTTTACAATTGAAAATTTACACACTTCAATATTTTTTTAGCAAGAGAATAGTGACATTCAAAGGTCTTTTTTGGGAAAAAGGTTAAAAGCAATTTTTTGATTTTTAATCTCTTTTAAATTATATCACTTCTCTACTTTTTACATGTTTTTTTTAAAAAAAAAAAAATCAAAAAACTAACTTTTATCTATTTGTCAAAACAATCCAAAGTAGACTGCGAAAATTAAAAGATATTACAGTATTTTGCTAGATAAAAAATAAAGAAAAAAGAAGTTGGGAAGACCAATGCGTGATTTCTTATTGATTGAAAAAAAAAAGAAAGAAGAAATTAAAGAAATCAGCCAACACCACAAACTTGTAGACGTGGATATGGGCTTGACGGCCCGTGAGGTGGTCCATCATTTTGTAAATGTGTGCAAATTTTGGATAGAATAGGTAAGTCCCGAACCCAGCCCAGTCTGCTTAGTTTGAATTCAAATCACAAAAGTTTGGGAAACTTTTTGAAATTATGTGGCTCCTAAGCCTCTGTTTGGCAAGTTGGTTCTTGGGCTTTTTTGGCTATTTTAGCCACAAAAGACAAAATAGGCTATTTTAGCCATAACAAACAAAACATCACATCCAACCCATAATCATTACATTTTTCTCTCACAAAAAAACTCAAAAAAGTCAAAAAGCCAAAAAGTCCTTCCCAAACCAAGCTTTTAAGCCCAGGCTAAAATAGCCAAAAAAGCCAAAAAGCCAAAAAGCCAACCCACTTCCCAAACGGAGGCTAAATCATATTGATAATCTTTTATTTTTATAACAACATTACAAATTCACCCTTATTAATTTAAAATTTATTTTAAAAAATTAATAGTTGAAATTCATTTTACTCATAACCCTACACTTCATTAATTTAATTTTCACCACACAAATCTATGCAGATAAATTATGAGTTCTTAAAGATACGTTGATAACATTTTTCTTATTTTTAACATAATAAGACCAATGGCTATCCCATCATTTTAAATTACAAATCTTTATCTATATTTTTGGATAAATTACACTAATAAACTCCATATTTGAGGTAAGATTTCACATTAGTCACTGCAATTTTATTTGAATAAATTTTATTCTTAAATTTTTATTTAATTTCAACCTTGTCTTTCAATCCAAAATTGTTCAAAATATTAATGAAAATATTCATGTGGAAACTTTCCCTCTTAGATTTTTGATGGATTTTAAGAAAGGAAATATATTCGATTAGATTGAAAGTACAAAATAAAATTAATAAATCAAAAATAAAATCTCCCGCATAAATAATCACTTTGCTTGGTTCCCATTTTTTAAAAACAGTTTTCAAAAAATTCTACACTCTTATTTTTCATATTTTTTTGTTTTTACTGAATTTTTTAAATATTTTATGCAATTTTTTTACTTTTTAGACACACCTAACATAAATACACCTAAAAAGTAAAAAAATAATAAAAAAAATCTTTTAAAAATTCACTAAATTATCAAAAATACAAAAAAATACAAGAATTTAGTACATTTTTTGTATTTTTATGTATTTCTTAATTTTTTAAAATATTTTTTCACAATTTTTTTTTACTTTTTAAACACATCTAAGTAAGGTTTATCTAAAAAAGTAAAAAAAATGTTTAAAATTTTAAAAATATTCACTAAAAATAAAAAAATATAAAAATTAAAAAACTCAATTTTTAAAAAACTTAGTCCAGAAAATTCAAACCAAACACAGTGAATAGAATTTTATTTTAGATGGTTATATATTGTAATTTTTTATTCGCATATACTTTTGAAGTATGTATATCTTCAGTTTGTAAGTCTAAAATGTAGGGATGAGCTCTTTACGATGCATGGCAAAACACCCAACAATCTCCCTCGTACAATCATGCACAAAACTCATGGAAATCAAGCAAATCCACACCCAACTCCTCATTAACGGTCTTCTTAACGACCCTCTTCTCCACGGCCAATTCGTCGCCTCCATTGCTCTGAAACACCCCAACAATCTCGATTACTCCACTCAAGTTCTACACCAATGCGACAACCCAACTCTCTTCGCCTTCAATTCCATGATCAGAGCTCACTCCAAAAGCTCAAACCCACGAAGGAGCTTCGTCTTTTACAACAGGATTCTACAATCCAATCTCAGTCCTCACCCTGACAATTACACATTCACTTTCTTGGTTCGCACTTGTGCCCAATTGTTGGATCGCGAAACGGGCCAGGCAGTCCATTCGGCGCTGACGAAACATGGGTTTGAATCTGATCCACATGTTCAAAGTGGGTTGATTTACATGTATGCTGAATTGGGTCTCTTGGACTGTGCGCGTAAGGTGTTCGATGATATTCCTGAGCCAGATTTGGTGACTCAGACTGCAATGGTGACCGCTTGTGTGAAATCGGGTGATGTCGGTTTTGCACGGGATTTGTTTGATGAAATGCCTCAGAGGGATCACATTGCTTGGAATGCGATGATTGCAGGGTATGCACAGTGCGGGCAATCTAGGGACGCACTAAATTTGTTTCACTTAATGCAATTGGAGGGTGTGGAGATCAGTGAGGTGTCAATGGTTTCGGTTTTATCTGCATGCTCTCACTTAGGTGCCTTGGATCAAGGAAGATGGGCACATGCGTACATAAAGAGAAAAAAGATACCGATCACTGTCATGTTGGGAACTTCACTTATTGACATGTACTCGAAATGTGGGAACATGGATAAGGCAATGGAAGTCTTTTGGGGAATGAAAGACAAGAACATTTATACGTGGAGTAGTGCAATGGGTGGGCTAGCGATGAATGGGTTTGGTTGGAAATGTCTGGAGCTTTTTAACCTTATGAAACAAGAAGGGGTTTGGCCCAATGAGGTCACATTTGTCTCTGTTTTAAGGGGTTGTAGTGTTGTTGGATTAGTCGAGGAAGGTTGTAAGCATTTTGACTCGATGAGAAAAGAATTCGGCCTTGAGCCTATGCTTGAGCATTATGGTTGTATGGTTGATTTATATGGCCGAGTTGGCCGCTTAAATGATGCCTTAGACTTCATAAATAAAATGCCGGTGAAGCCTCATGCTGGTGCTTGGGGGGCTTTGCTTAATGCTTGTAAAATCTACAAAAACATGGAATTGGGTGAACTTGCATCAAAAAAGATAGTAGAGCTAGAATCCAACAACCACGGGGCCTATGTGCTCTTGTCAAATATCTATGCTGATTCGAAGAACTGGGATAGAGTTAGTAATGTAAGGCAAACAATGAAAGCCAAAGGTGTCAGAAAGCTCCCCGGTTGTACTGTTATAGAGGTCAATGATGAAGTCCATGAGTTCTTTGTGGGGGATAAGTCCCATCCTAGGTATGGTGAAATTGAGGCAAAGTTGGAAGAGATATCTATGAGGCTTAAATTATTGGGTTATGTGGCTAATACTAATCCTGTTCTTTTCGACATAGAAGAAGAAGAAAAAGAGGATGCTTTGTGTAAACATAGCGAGAAAGTTGCCATTGCTTTTGGATTGATCAGTTTAAAGGAAGGTGTGCCTATTAGGATTGTGAAGAACCTTCGTGCTTGTTGGGATTGTCATGCTGTAACAATAATGATATCTGAAATTTATAATAGAGAGATCATTGTGAGAGACAGGAATAGGTTTCACCATTTCAAAGATGGAGATTGTTCTTGTAAGGGTTATTGGTAAATTAAATACACGATGATTTACGTAAAATTCATTTTGAATATGATGAGTTTCTTTTTATTTTCTTTCAATATCCAGCTTAATTGAAGCTAACTTCTGAAATCATAAAAGGAGTTGCAGATGATTTTTTATTATTTTATTTTTTTGCAGTTGATTCACAAGACAAACCAACAGTTTAGACAGCAAATCAATAGCTCACATTTATATTGTCAATTCTGGTTCTATAAAATTAATTTCTTTCTATCAGCAATTGAAGTAGTGCAGACCATTTACTTACAGATCTGTGCACATCTAGGGAGAAGTTATTGGTTGGTCCAAGGGCAACGTCACGTGGCGTTCCATATATATTGTGATTAGTGGAGGATATGAGATTCACGATTTTATATTGGTGATTGGAGAACATGAGGGGATATAAAGGTTTGTGATTAGCTTGAAATATGATCACGCGGCGCTTAGTACCAACCGATAATTTTTCACATGTAGGATGCTCTCGGTGTAAAAATTATCCTGGTCATATCATGCTATGTTTCGTACAAACACTCTTCATTCCTAGGTATTTCAGTTGGAATTTGCTATTAGCTATGTTACCCATATGTGAAGTAATTAAAAGTCTTTTAGCCCAATAAAATGTTCCGTTGCCATGAAAATGGGGGAATCTTGTTATAGGTTTTGATTAATGATGCAACATTAGGCTTACCGCAGAGTATTTTTACTCTTTTTACTGTGTCAAAGTTTGAAGTCTTACCTTATTTTTGACACAGATTTTTACTGCTTTTAAGGATCCCATGAAAGCCATTCCTCACCTAATTCTAATAGAAAAGAAGATCACGGGTTGTCACTAATGACACGCAACGCAACCATGTTCCTTCTTAGTTCAAATTACTTCGTGTGGCCCTACAGAGCGAAGATTTCTAGCATTAGTGACCCTACAAAGTGAAGATTTCTAGCATTAGTAAAATTGTCTATCTTCTATTTGTCTCTCACAATTTCAAGGTTATTGTTGACTAATCACCATAATAAAATCCAATGTTTTTGAAATGAGGACCATTAATCAAATCGGAAAAGTGATTGCGTCATGGGTCACTAGTTCAACCGTAGGGTGAATTGAAATTAAACTGTGACATCATAATTACTTAGATAACGTTTATGTTTACAAAATTTTTATAAACTTATTTTTGTTTATTTTTAGAAAAACATAAACTAATGTTCCTTCTTAGTTCAAATTACTTCGTGTGGCCCTACAGAGCGAAGATTTCTAGCATTAGTGACCCTACAAAGTGAAGATTTCTAGCATTAGTAAAATTGTCTATCTTCTATTTGTCTCTCACAATTTCAAGGTTATTGTTGACTAATCACCATAATAAAATCCAATGTTTTTGAAATGAGGACCATTAATCAAATTGGAAAAGTGATTGCGTCATGGGTCACTAGTTCAACCGTAGGGTGAACTGAAATTAAACTGTGACATCATAATTACTTAGATAACGTTTATGTTTACAAAATTTTTATAAACTTATTTTTGTTTATTTTTAAAAAAACATAAACTAAAAAACATGTTCACTAAGGCCTAAAATATTTATATTTATTTTTTTATTATTTATGACATTGGGATCAAAACACCAATTAAAATCTGTTCTTCCCGATCAAAAAACATGTTCGTTCTCATCCTCGTCTCTTCCCGATCAAAACACCATCGCCGTCAACGGCTCATCCTCTTCTTTTGCCGCGGCAGATCGACCGTCCCTCGCTACTATCATTCAGTTCTCAGCCACCACACTTGTTATCTTTGCCACAGGCATCTTCTCCTCCACCATTCAGTGTTCGGCTTGCCCTGGCAGCTCTTCCTTCTCCATCTCCCTCGCTGGGAGTTTGGGGGTGTAGCGGCGGTGTAAAAGTGACACTGAGCATTGTAGGGGAAGTAGGGAGGCAATCATCCGCCACTACACGTTGTCGATCTCACCATCTCCACTGTTGAGCTTCACCTCCACCACTGTCGAGGTTCGGCGACTCGTGTTGCACGTGTTGCATACTCATCCTCAACAGAATAGTAGCCTCCAAAACAAAATCACCAATTTAAACAAATATAAATAAAGAAATTTATGATTTTCAAATTTTTAAACAAACGTATACAGGAAACGTAAACAGATTTTTTCAGTTTATGATTTCCAGCTCAATTTAAAAACTGTGACCTACAGTTTATAAATTAAAATCTACCAAACAAGTTTATATTGTAGTTTTTAAAATTTTTATAAATATAAACGGTAAACGGAATGATTACCAAACATGTTAGAGAAAATATATTTCAGCAATTGAATTATAATAGTATGTTAGAGAAAATATGTTGAATACAATAAATAACATACATCCACTATTAACATCAAATCAAATGTGGAGTGTTGGTCTAGTGGAAATGCGGCCAACCTGTGTGTGCTTGGTGCTAAGTTTGAGCCCTCTTGACAGCTTATTTTTGATGCATTGGAAGTTCCGCAGGTTTGGCCCTGCACTGGTTAATCTATTTCAATCACGGGATTTACTGGTTTCTTTAAAAGAAGTTGGTTTTTCAAATTGAAAATCTTAAGTGATTCGTGATTAGATTAAGATTAAAATATTTTAATTCTCAATCATTCAAAACACACAATCTAAATCATCAAGCACTTACGAAAGTGATTTAAATTGTTATTTTCGAAAAAAATAATAAATCAACACAAACGATTTTTACGTGGAAAAATCACAATTGAAGAACCTTCAATTGTAATAAAAAACCACGGGCGAAACGCCGCTAATCAATCCACTACTGAAGAAAAAAAGATTTCAAAGATAATAAACAAATTACCCAACTCATCCAATTTGTCTTCAAACATTATGTAACTCTTTCACCAAGCCATCATCTTGGAACTGATTAATCTGAAGTTGAATCCACAACTTCACTTGTCGAATCAACGACTACGTATAGAATCAAACTCCTTTGAAACTCCACGTTTGAATCTTCGAAATCTACCGAAGAAGACTACTCTTGTATATGATCAATCAACCTCCTTCATCTATGCTTGTCAATTCATGAGTTTAATACTCATTCAAATTATCAAGGAAAACTCACAAAAAATACTCCAGAAGAAAACCTTAGAAAACCTCAAAGTAGATCTAAAAAACCTAATCCTAATTTTGGAGTAAAACAAATACTTATAGAAATCTTGGACTTTGAGGCTCGCTTGAGCGAAGCTTCTCTCGTTCGAGAGAGGAACTTATCTCGCGTGATTTCCATAAGTGGCTTCGCTCGAGCCACGCAACCTGCGCTCGAGCGTACAATCAACTCTTTCAGGTTTTATGCAAACGCACTTCTTCGCTCAAGCCACACAAGCTTCGCTCGAGCGCATATCTCTTTTAGGTTTTTGCCAGACGCAGTCTTCGTTCGAGCGAGGACTCATTCGCTCGAGCGAAGAAGACAAAACAGCAAGGAAATTTACAACTCAATCACACAAGTTTGTTCGCGGGATTGACAAGACTAAGAGACCTAACAATTTCCCCCTTTGTCAATACTCGGACAAAACTTTCTAACATACTTTCCTAAACAAACGAACAAACTAAACAAACCAACTATAAAACCAGAAAATGAACCAACTACCAAATCAATCTTGATGGAAAAACAATCTGCACAAAATAAACAATCTGCACAACATAAACTTGGAGAGATTTTTTATTCATCATAAGAAACCATCAAGACTTAAAAAAAAAACATAAACCCATTATCAACATCATTAGCAACTTAAATTCCAATATAAACAATATAACATGTTGCCCATAAGTCCAAGTGCTGCCTGCAAAAACATCATGAGTATCCCATATACATCACCCCAAAAAAATAAATCCTGCCTGCAAAAACATATGAGTATCCCAAACATATAAACCCCCTATCCCCTTAAAAAAAAAACATATGAGTATACCCCCCAAAACATATATACCCTCAAAAAGCATACTCCTCCTTTTTGTCTGGGAGTGACCCAAAAGACAGTCATATACACCTTCAGAAAAACTAGTCAAAACTGTCAAATAAATAAACCAAAACTGTCCAGAAAAGCATAGGCCAAAAACTAGGAATGAGAGGAAGATGGCTACTGCAACTGAAGTATAGAAAGAATCTGAGCAAGCATGGTACTCTACTTATCAAGTCGGCTGTCAAGGGTATCGAGTCGGGCATCCAAATGATCGAGGCGACGAGTGATTAACTGCTCAAACTGCTGCAGCTGGCCACGAAATGATCTAGGACGCAGCTTAGGTAGATCAGGGGCACCTCCTGGGCTGTATCAACCTCCTCTTCCTCTGCGAGTGGATCATCACCTGTGACAACCCTCACTTCTGATTAGCGTTAAATTGTGATTAAGCATGATAAGTAATTGATTAAGATGAAATCCTAAATTGTTGTGTGAGTGTGTTGTTTAGAATGCATTTCTATCTGTTTGTTATTGAATGATCTGTTCATGTTTTAATTCTCGAATTGCGAATTGAAAACCTTATCGGCGACCGATTCAGAAATTGATTAGTGTTATACGCCAATTAGAATTTATAGAATTTATGGTAGGTTTAATTAAAATTCAATTTGGAATGATTAAATTAAAATAAATAATGCTAGATTAATTAAATATAGGTTATTTACGTTTTTGCCATTGAGTGGGCCACCTTTAGAGACATTGTTTGGGGCTTAATTCACACATTTGATACATCATCTTTTCCATTCTCAAGACCAAACCGTGAGTGAGAGAGAGATTGGAAGAAGAAAATTGATTCAACAAGAGATTGGCTTGAAACTGAGAGGAAATTGAAGAAGACTTGAGAGATTAGGCTTCTACACTTGAAATTCAAGAAGTAAGGTAGGAAATTCATTCTCTTAATTATGAATTTAAGTTGTTTGTTGCTTGGTTCATGGAAAAATTGGTGATTAGAGTCAAGAATTATCTTAAAGTGTTAATTTGAGAATCCATTCATACATGCATGTCCATATTATAGAGTTTTGAAGTTGTTTTGCATGAAATTCTTCCATGCATGTCC